AAACATTTAATTTAACATGCATTTGCGATTTAAATCAAAATGGGGGTAACGGGGACTTATTATTTCTCTCTTCTCTCTCTTATTATCAAAACTAGTTCAATTGCGGTTCTTTTGGTTTCACGGAGGGCTTCTCAGATAGTTGGGCATTCAGGTAGATTGCCAGGTGAAAGGATTAGTAATAATATTTTGTTGAAGCAAGTCAGTTTTTTGCGACACATAAGAGACATCTTGTGGCATTATTATATAGGACGGACACAGTGACTCAGACACTCGTTGAATGAAAAACACAGCACAACACAGCACGTATATTTTATTCAGTGGGAAATTGCTGACTGAATCGATGAGTAATAATACACTCAACCAACAACACTTGTGTATGACTTGCAACATTAGATAACCAGTAGAATTACAGTTATATTCACCACTGTATTAATAGTTACAATAGATACAAATTTCAAATTTGAAATCTTTTTAAAAATAATTTATTAGCCTTACTATATTTTACATCTGCATGTGAGATCACAGGGTGCCCAGCGGTTGCTTTGTTTCTGTGGGACAGTGATTAGCTGCCGCCCCCCTTCAGCTAGTCAGTTGTGACAGAAATACAGTAGTTTGTTCACATTTGCAGACCCAAGTGGAAAGATCATACGAAAAGCACGTGACTAGGGAAAAACAAGGGGAAAAAAAATAAAAACTGCAAACGAATCGATGTTCTTCAAAACATTATTAACCGACAAAAACCAAACTCAGGTCAAGTTTGCCAAACTTAAATTTAGCAAAATTGTAAGTTTTATTTTAAGTGCATCCATTTCTGTTAACATGAACTCAACAGAGTTGGAATGTGCCTTTTTATGGGTAGTTTTATTTTTAATCAAGGTACTGTATGCTAAAGTTCCTTTCCTTTCTCTACCATCTGGTTCTCTATCTTCACCTGTAAAACACCCTTTTTAACATTTTACTTATTTCACAGTAACTTTATTCTTCCTTGTTATCAATTTTATTGAAGTTGAGCTTCATTACTACACTTTACAGTCTGCACACAATTCCCAGTACAATAGGAGTAATTAGACAAAAAAGCAGTGATCATCAACACCTTAAAGCTGGAGGCGGGATCACTAAACCCTCTTTTATCATAAAAACAGGAAAGCACAAGATAAAAGAAAAGTCTGGAAACTGGTTCATTTCAATCTAGCATGATATATTTCAAACTTTTTACATGTTTTAATAAGTGTCTTCCTTGTTAATATACTGTATATACAACCCAGCTCTTTACTTTACTTTGATGGATTACAAACTAGTGAAATTAGATGAGATGCAACATCTTACATCATTAAATTATTGTTATCCACTGTATAATTCATCCTGTTCTAAGGAAGTCCGATCTCCAGCTATGTATGTGGTGATGTATATTTCTGCAGTGGCAGTGGTGATGCTGACAGTGTGTGGAAACCTGATGGTGCTTCTTTCTATCTCTCACTTCAAGCAGCTCCACACACCAACTAACCTTCTCCTGCTCTCCCTGACTGTGGCAGACTTTCTGGTTGGAGTCATGGTGATGCCTTTCTCTTTAATTGAACTAATAGAAACATGCTGGTATTTTGGGGAAACTTTCTGTATACTTTATAACATTTTTGTGTTTGTGCTAACTTCAGTTTCAATCAGTAATTTAGTATTTGTAGCAATAGATCGATATTTTGCAGTATGTGATCCATTGCTTTATTCCACCAAAATAACTATTAAAATAACATGCTTATTCATACTGTTGAGCTGGTTAGTGTCACTGCTGTACAATATAGCACTTATTTATTTTAATGGAAATATGAGCAAATCTGCAAAATTGAGTGCTTGCCTTGGAGACTGCTTACTTTCAATTAGTGAACATTGGGGCACAGCTGACTTACTGATTACATTTGTTTCGCCTTGTTCTATAATGTTAACACTTTACTTAAAAATCTTTATAGTTGCTAGAAAACACGCACAAGCCATCAGCTGTGCTGCAGATCAAATATATTCAACCACTGGGGTCCAAAGAACAATCCCCAAGAAATCTGAAAGAAAAGCTGCAAAAACATTAGGGATCGTAGTTGGATTTTTTCTGCTCTGCTGGGTCCCCTATTACATCTGTACACTTGTAGAAGCAAACATGAATTTGTCATCTTCTTCTGTGCTAATGAATTTCCTCTCTTGGCTAGTGTATTTTAATTCTTTTGTTAACCCTGTTATTTACAGTTTACTTTACCCCTGGTTTCAAAAGTCTATGAAACTCATTGTAACTTTTGAGATATGTAGTCCGGCATCCTCTTTGATGAACCTTTTCCCTGAAAATCATTAAAATATTTGGTCATTTTTCTCTAGTTGCAATCTATACTATTAAATTAAAATATTCTTTTTTTTTCCGTTTCCGTTTTTTGTGACTCACATATTTCAGAAAACAATACTGTAAAGAAAGTTGTAAATTTGTAATTTAGAAAGTGGAATGCAAGTAGAATGAAAAAATGTATTACAAGACATGAAACTATACTGTATATCTAATCTCTATGACTCTATGACTGTTGATTACAAAACTTTAAAATCTACTATAAATCTTCTATACAAAAAGGAAATATGGAATTTTAAAATATGAAGTACTTTACAAAATATGAAGTACTTTAAAAAATATGAAGTTTGACATTCACATCGAATTTAATTGTTCGATGTGAAAGGTCACATCTAAGTTAAGATTTGTGTAAAAAATGTCCCAGCCATGTTAATGAAGCTGTTATCATGGCTTATTTCAAGAAACCTCTTCAAGAGTTCCTAGAATGAATCACACCTGTAATACCACATTCATGAGAGTATTATTCCATTTAAAATACATTGGTGATAGAATTCTTATGTAAGACAATTTACAGTAATATATATCATTATTTAAACTTAGGCTCTTCAGGAAACCAAAAGGTACTGTATGTCTGTGTTTATATTTATACTGTACAGTATATCCAGTGGTTATGTATATTGTATGCCAATGGGAGAACTGTTAAATAACAGGAAATAACTTTTAAAAAAAGGGATATTACTACAACCAAATTTTATAATCTTTCCCCATTGTTTTATCAAAGAAAATTGTAGGAAAGCAGTGATTCACAGCACAGTACAGTGAGGTTTTTAAAGCAAGTTTATTCTTATGAAAAGGCTCCTTCTGTGAAAATAAAGGGAATACTTAAACATGTATCTTTTTCTGCAATGCTAAAAAATCAATCTCAAAAGCCTTTTATAATGCTTGCGTATCCGCAGTTAATCTCTTCTCTTGCATTACCATAATCATCCTGGATTGGACATCAGTCCATCACAGAGGACCTACAGATAAACTTATATAGTACACACGCACATCAGGGACACCAGGGACAATTTTTCCAGAACTCAGTTAACCTACCAGTAGATTTCTGTGTGAGGAAACTAGAGCACCCAAGGAAACCCAGATGAGCATAAGGAGAACATTGAAACTCTAAGCAGATAACATCTCAAGACTTTAACTCAGGGCCCGTGCAGCGTAAGGCTGCAGTGCTAATCATTATACCAGCCTGCTGCCCGAAGCGGATCCTTTATGTTTTTCTCTACAGTGAGTGCAAATCTGAGATCAGTCACTGAGAGATGTATCATTTCACAGGGAAAAGGAACCAGATACGATAAAGACAAAAATATAATAACAATGAAACACTGGAGAACGCCAAAACATGGACATGGATTGCTTATCCCCTTAGTATTCCCAAAAGCTGGTTAGTATCCTACTCCCTAATAGAGATTATCTGATGCACAGTGTGAAACTGTAGTTAGTTTCTGAGACTCCACCTCTATAAGTTATGAATCAAGATAAACATGGCAAAGGCCATGGAGGGGGCCCTAGTGCCACAGAGAGAGTCCATCTGGGATACAGTTCCAGCAACACTGGCTGCAGCTTTAGGCCCATTAATACAGCAGGCTTTGGGCCTTCTTCATAACATTTATGAGGGAATCTCATCAAAAACATTTGAACCAAATCTGCTTCAATCAAAAGGTCTGTGATTGTCAGCAACAAGCTATTCAATCTAATAGATTAATAGATCAGGCTGAAACAGACTCACTGTCAGCCAAATCTACCTGATCAAGAAAACTCAAGT